CGCAAGAGAGCAAATGGGAAACAACTTTCACCCCATAATAGAAAATAGGATTATTCTAACCACTTCGGGACTGGAGCAATTTTTATATTTTTGTATACGCATCAAAATCTGACTTTTTGGCTAGAAAATTGATTAAAACCTCTGAAACATTATGTTTTCTAAAAGGAGAGGCCCTGCAATATAAATAGTATATGTAATTTCTTCTGTCACGTGATATTTTGCACAAATGTTTATCAAATCTATGAGAGGAGCAGCAATTAAAGTGATCGTGCACTACAGTGGCACACAGTTACACAAAATAACAAAGGGACAGGAAGGAACTAATTTTGTGCCTATTTTAGTAGAACAAAGGTAACCAGTTCGGCTGTTTTTACTTTTCACATTACATTTTTGGCAATAAAATTATCCCCCCTGAACCACATGTATTTTCTGAGGCCCTGTAGAATAAAAAGGTGATCATTGCAAGTGTTTATATCACATGAGATTTGCACAACTGTTTATCAAACACAAATTCTCAAGAAAAAACATAATAAAATGAAGTTTAGTGCAAAAACACACAACATAATACCCATTTTCGGTTAAACTATAAAAGATGAGTTGCATCGAGTAAATAGACACCAATCATTCCAAGTCTTAAAATTGCATTTGCCCACAATATCACCAAAAATTTTAAAAGCGTTTACAGCTTATCAGTTTATACCAAACTAGGAGCTCTTCTGCTAGAATTATTGTTCTCACTCTGACATTTGCGGCAATATGTCACACGTGGGGTGCGACTGCGGTATACATATGCGTGCACACCTTGGGTTTGCATTTGCACAGGTGTGTGGAGCAATGAGGGTTACAGCAAATTTTTATTTTTAATATATACTTTATTAGAATTTACATTTTTTAAACTTTTTTTAATTTATTTTTACTTGATTACTATCACAATGTGATAGCACTGGGCAGGTGACAGGTACTTTTTATGGATACTTTTTATGGAGACAGGTGTCTAATAGAGCCCCCAATGCCTCCCCTGCCCTTCACACCATCTAATGAAGCACAGATTGGCTTTATTAGATGTGTCCCCTGGCTGTACTGGCCATGAAAATGGGCATCTGAAACCGGAAATAACACCACTTCTGGTTTCACTGTTTGCATGTGAGATCGAGGCATGGATTTCCTTGATCTCACAATGCTCGCCTTCCCTATCCAGCAGTTGTGTTCCCGGGCTCCGGTAAGAGCGGGGATCCCAGGAACCATGGAAGGAGTGGGGGGCACCATGTTGTCGGCTCTGAGAAAGTGTTTGGCAGCTATGGAGCTGCCGCATCACTTTCACTTTTAAGCCGGCTGAACAAAAAACACACAAGCTGATGGCTTGTGATTAAAGGTTCACTCAAAGAGCTGAACTGGGTAATGAATTATTGTGCATGAATGCATACTTGCAAACTAACAAAACTTGGGATGTGATAAAGGTGTTACTACTGTCTAAGGGAAGTGATGTAATCATTTCCTTATTGGAATTTATCTGTAGAACCATTTTCATTCTTTGTTAGAATCCAGGCATGTAATAGGGCAGTCCTAGTCCTAGGGCAGTTTCTTTTTTTAAATGCTGTAATCAAATGAGAAGGCAGAATACAGGGAAGAATCACCAGGCAAAAATTGCATTAAAACAAAATTAATAAAACGAATGCAACAACTAAGGACTGTTAAGCTGCTGTATACTGCATTTCTGTTCTTAGGTTTAGTTACACTTTAATTTGACTTTACCACTTGCCACTGTGAATTAATAGAATACATAGCCAATAAAATAGCATGGGTTTATCCATACAAACCAGAAGAGCAACCTCTATAGTTTTCATCAACCCAACTGCTAATAGAACTATGCACTCCTTTCTGTGCAACCCCAGCTGCACTGAAGATGAAGAGAAAACAGAGGCTACCCCTTTATTGGTGACCCTGGCCCGAGTTTTGGGCGCATCAGCCTTTAAGGAGTGTGCTGTAAGGTATTTGTAATATATTCCTTTCCCAATTTATGGTCTCTCTCTCACAGGGGATGGAGGGGTTTCACTTATGTCCCAGTAGGGATCACGTAGTAGAATATTGATTTATTGGGGGTCTATCCTTTTTTGTTCAATACATCTTGGACAGAGCAGTCCAGTGTTTTTCTGTAGCTGGTTACATCTTTCGTCTTTATTTTAGGATTATTTCCTTCTTCTTCTGGAAAAGTGTGTATGTAGGGAAATTATTAGATTACTATTTAAGAAGGAGGTTTTGGGCCTTTTTACTTATGTGCACGTTAAACATCATTAGGGTGGCATTGTTCTGTGAGGCCGGCATCTCTGCCATGGCAGTTTGTTGCGGCCTCTGTAACCCCTATGTACATCTGGGAGACCTTTTGCACAACTGTTGCACTGCATTATAATGTGAGATTTTTTAATATATTTCCTTAATCTTTGGTGTATGATCTAATAGTATTGGCACGTAATGATATCGTTTTGATTGTGTTTAATGTACTTTACAACAACTGCTTTGTCCAGAGGAAGAGGTGGTAGCCACGAAACGCTTCGACCGTGAATATGGGAAGGACGCCCCACTACATGCTCCAATATTGAATTACGAAAGCTATAAACAATTCTAGCATGTTTGGAGGTGTCCGGTTTCATTTTAGGAACAATGTTATGCATTTACAATTTTACTATTTTGAGCAAGTTGTGTATGTCTTGGATCCCTATTAAGCCAATATTGTGAATTAACTACGTGTTTTAGAATAAGTTCCTCTATTTTGGGATGACCTTTAGACATACTTCTTAAAGAACTAGAACAACCATTAGATTTTGTCAGTTTCTGAAAAACAAACTGCCAGGAAAGTTTAAACAGACAAAATTGTTGACTTATGCATTTGTACAAGTCAGCATTCTCAAGGCTGAGTCACTGTCTGGAACACTGCAACAGACTTTAGTCTGTTTATGTCCTTCCCTTTCTCAAAATGCAGTACAAAAATCTGGTGTAAGAGTTGAACTTATTCTGAAGTGCTGTACATTAAATAAAAAATGAAAGGATTGCTCATATACTGCTTGCAGCGTAGGGACAGCCAAGATTATACTTTCAAGCAGAATACAGAGCCTGTGTGTGTCAAATGTCCATAGCGTTTGGAGTTAAAAAACATAAACGGAATAATAGGTCACAGAATTAAAATTATTATAGGTATTTAAATAGTGCCGACAATTTACATAATGTGCATTCACTCCAGCCCCTGCTTCAAGGAGCTTACATTTCATCATCCCTATCCAACTTGCATACATACACACATACTAGAACCAATTACCTAACAGCAGATCTTTGGAGTGTGAGAGGCAACTTAAGCACAGGGATCCTGACCAGGATTTGAACTGGGGACACCAGCACTGCAAAGCAGAAGTGCTAACCACTAAACAAAGCAATGCTCACAAAACAAAGTGTACAGCTGAAAGTAATACTCTCAATAGGCTGGGCTTTATTGAAAGAGCAGTATGCAACAAGGTTTTTGAACCATACTTTTCTTGTGGGTCACAGGAGTACACTTACTTTTGTACTTCTGTGACCCAGAGTTAAATTGAATAGATTGTTTAGGTGGGTCCTCCCATTCCATAGTTTTGGTAAGTCTGAAGGAAATTGTAGAGAGATTGTACAATCAGATCGCACAGTGTATGGCCATCTTTATACAAGTACATAGGAGGACTGAGTGGACTGAGCCATGCAGCTGCCAGGCCCCATTCACATCACAGCAGTAATTAAAACACGTTGTCTATACTTTCTTTGGAGCTTTTCCACTCGTTATGAAGAGGGCTGACCATTCACTTGAATGAGCTGCCCTATGCGCAACAAATTCCCCAAAGAAGCTCCAGAACTTTTTTTCTACAGCAGAGTTTTTTTGCCATGCTTTTTGGTGTACTTGCAGTGCAATTGCTGCATGGCAGACGTGCGTCTGTGACCCGCACTTAGGGTGCTATTAACATTGTGCTGCAAGTGCGACGAGCGTTTCCAAATTGCATGATACAGAGTGCGCTGTGCAGTTTGACATGCATTCAGAACTGCACAGATATGAATGGAGCCTCATTGATCTTGTGTAAACACACCAACTTCACTTTCGGGTGCCATTCACACCTAGAGTAGTGGGAGCACATGGTTTGTGGCTCATGTTAATGACAACACGCATAGGGGAGCCCATGGGCAAAGAAATTCATGGGAAATTTTTGCATGTTGCGGTTTGCACTTTTTTTACTATGCATTTTGCTTCTTTTGCTTCTGAATTTGGGGTGCTGTTAATTAATGGCACAGGAAGTGCAACTAGTTTATTTTAGGTGTATAAAGGTGGCCATACACTATCTAATTGTACAATCTCTGCACAATCTCCTTTTCATTTACCAAAGCTATATTATAAAAGACACACCTATCTATCCAAACACTCTGTAGCGAATCAAACAGGCTCTTGAATTACATAGTTGATGGTATATCTAAAGGAAACTGTACAGATTGTTTAGTATATGATAAGCTTTACAAACTTCCAGGGACACACTTCTCCTGTTTTCAATACTACAGCTCTGCTCCACACAAGCTCTTAGGTGATTGCTCAGGTCCTACACACACTGCCAGATCTGTGCAAGATGAAGGAACAAAAATAAATAATCGATCACTGGCTGTGTATTTAGTAGGAACAGATAATGATATAGACTTATAATAATTATATGTGAGCACAGAGTTGGATAGAAGCAATCTCCTGAAGAGGGAGGGCATGAGCAGGGTGTATGTTAATGAGGTCAGATGGTAAACTACTTCCTTCTACTGTTTTCATGTCCTAAATGCCAAAATGCATAAAAAAGTATACAAAGGAGGATTGAGAGAGCTTATTTGTTTTAAAATAACTCACAGCAAGTTTAAGTTCTAAATTAAAATGAAAGAAAATAAAATTGTTTTTCTTAAAAACACAACATCTTCGAAAACAGAACAAGAATTTGTTGAGAGCACGCTTCATTTACCTTGAAGAAGATATAGTAAAAGCAACCAAAGAAAGATGACCTTTGAAGTAACTTGAAGCCACCATCTAAAGAAAAAAGGAAAAAAAAAACAACACGAACAATTCCTTTCCTTGTCAGAGATGTCCATGGGCTTTCAGGTTTTGCTTTTGCAAATGCAGACCCTGTAAAAATAATAATAAAAAAATGATAATAGATAATATATGAGCATGTAAAGGGCTGGACAATTACCATAAAAGAGATGTGCAAATAATATATTAATAAAAAGTGCATGAGTTGTCCAGAGTGCCCAATTAGATTTCAATTTTATGCTCTGACAGAACAAGGAATCAGACTGGCTACTATAGGAAAAAATGTTTTAAGTTAGGAAAATTTCAACGCAGCTTCACCCTAACCCTGCCTTTTTTACTACAAAGCTCTGCCTTCTACAGGCAGTGGCAGGATCAACTGGTAATAAAATGTACTTACCATAAAATCTATTTCTTGGAATCCACTGAGGAAAACAAAAGGTTCAGAAACAGTTCAGTTATACTTGCTGAATACAGGAAGATGGTACTCTGGCAATCAGAAAAACTGCAAGCCAGCCCCTGTATAACCTGTCCTCTACCCAGTATGCCTCAAGTTTTGTGAAAAAGCAGTACCTAGTGCAAGAGCGCAAAAAAAAAATACAGAAAAAAAAAACACATAGGAGTAGGGCCTGTGTCCCTTTATGGCATCCAAGAAATTAATTTTTGGTACATTTTCTTTGTCCTCTATTGAGGGACATAGGAATTCAGAAACAGTTGGGATGTCCAAAACAATTCCATAAAAATCCCACAAAATGGACTGGGGACTGTCTAATTCAGAACTACCTGAAGGAGCAGTGACCAAATCTAAACCAGATGAGAAAAAGCCCTCTGCAAAACACAGAACCTGCCAGTGACCAAAGGAAGGGCGCAGAGGACCAATCTGATGCTCAAGACCAGGACAGGTAATGCAAAGGAGTAATGAGACTCTGTATAGAGGAACATTAACCCGAAGATCAACAACTCACAGGATGGGGGAAGCTCTGGAGAAGTCCTGGAGATGAGCATGGGAGGAGGAGACAAAGGAGCTAGAGAATAGGAGGTCTTGCGAGTAGTGGAGAGTAAGGTTTGGGTGATATTTAGAGACAAGATCGGTGATATAATTTGGGGCAAAGTTATAAATGGCTTTATATGTTATTGTAAATGTTTTGACATGAGTCGTCTTCTGAATCCACTGGAACAGGTTCAGACTGCAGGAGCAATTTACAAAGTGAGATCACCTATTTCACCTAAAAGCCTGCTAGCACTCACCAATCAACTTCCTGAACTGTTCCAGTTTTAAGGCTGCAAAGCAATCTTTATGCCTAACTGGCTGGAAAACAACAGGTCACTAGGCCCCCAAGTCCCCCTCCACCTCAGCTGCAATGGCAGCATCACTCCTGTTCGAGAGCCAATTCCAGAGATTTCAACCATATTGCCTCAGATACCAATGAGGCCTAACACCAGAACAAAAGTGCAACAGGTTTTATCCTGCTTTCTAAATCTAGCTCTATGTTCCTCACCTAGACTCATTATTTCCTGGTGTGGCCCAGAGAATGTGATAGAAATTCAAGTGGACCCCTCATGCCATCACCATCTTTACCGCTTCCATTCCCTGCCACAGCTTTCTGACTCTTCAAGACCTAAACTAACAAACAATCTTTATACAATGCCTGTATGAGGCACAAAGAAAAGTAGCTAGGGACCCAATATTTCCACCAGGTGTCACCCTGAACTATAACATTTTTGACTTCCTACTAACCACCTCTGAGACCTACCTTTACAAGACCAGGGCCTGGTCTTTTGCATTTCCACCTCAGGATCTGTTTCACTCTGTGAGTACAGAGCAGGACTGTCGCAGACCACTACTATTAATGTGCTTCCTCTGACTAAAACTTTCACACAGGCTTCTTGCTTGACTTGTTATGATCCCAACGGAAAACATCACTAAAAGAGGACTTTTGCCTGGCCTGTCTGGGGGCGCAATGAATACAGTAGCTGCACATCCCACTCAAACCACAATCCCGCCTGTTGCAGACTTTATTGCCTGTGGTACTGGAGAACCAGTAATAGAATAGGGAGCATCCCCTACACCTCAGAGGACATCAGAGAAGACGGGGATAGGTGGGGGGCCTAAGGCCACCTTCAGAGCAGCAGGATGATACTGCTAAGCACCTTTAATTGTTGTGCTATTAAACTTTCATGCATAATTAATACTTCATGTTTTTTCACTGTAATGCTTTCTGAATGGCTGGTCGGGCATGGGCACAAGTCTCAAGGGTTAGACGTTAACTGCATGTGTGCATCAGTCACCCTTATATTTGCTCTGATCCTTATATCATTTCAAAGCACTCCGACCGCAGTTTGCACTGGTAAAAGCCTAAAAGATCTAGGTGTTGCCTCAACTGCCCAGCAGTCAATCACGAAGATCAGCTACCCCCAACCCCGCACTTACCAAATAAAACTCTGGGCATGGCAAAAGTTCATGGGCATTTCTCTGGACCACTCTCTGACATCCATGGCTTCTTTTCCATTGAAGACTTTCACATTCAGGACACTTTGTTGGAAAGGAGGGTGGGGCATAGTGAGGCCACGCCTTCTAAGCCAAGGCAAACCACTCTCAGTAAACCAATGCCAACTGTTAATTCCCTGTGGAATACATTTAGGTGTAGCTTCCTCACTGTCACTCAGAGAGTCGCCTATGGTCATGTCATATACTAGCTTACAATTTTTTGGTTAGCCAATGTCCAAACAACTGTCCTCCTGTAGGCAATGGTATAACCCGACTGTTTCTGAATTCCTGAGTCCCTCACTGGAAAGAAAATAATATTACAAGTCAAATTCAGAAAAACAAAAACTGCTGTGTTAAAGTTAAGGATTAGAAATTAAACGGTTTAAAGTGTCTAAAGGAAATAATGTCCAAGAATATTCTTCCCACCTAACCAAAAAGAACAAGAATGTGTTTGTTGTGGGCAATTCAGTGTCTTGTTCTTTCATAAACCTTCAAACCAGAGACCCATCTGGACTCCATTCCCCAATTTTGATACGGATACCTCTTCAGCACAATAACATAAGGAACCACCAATGAAACCACAAATGACACTGTTAGACTAAAGACAAGAATGCAGTCTTGTCTAACCTACAGCAACAGATTTCAGTATTAAAATCAGTATATGATTCTGCTCTGGTTGCTATGAATTACCACATTTTGCTCATTACTCCTGCTTTGCATTTACTGAATATGTCTGAGAGTTGCTCCAATTTGTTGCTGACCAGCTGAAATTTCAAATTGTAGCTGCCAATCACTTACTTCATCTGGTGTCCTTAACAATGTGAAATAAATTCAAATTCTATTTTAGAAAATAGGTTATTTGGTTACATTAAACATTTAACAGAAACATAGCTGTGCACTGGTACTGTCAAAGGTTAAACAAGCTGGGAACTTTGTAGTCATCCACTTTTTCTTATTACTCAATTATGTTACTTGGGCAACAGGAAAAAGTCAAGGTGTGTTTAGAGCAGGGGTGTCAAACTGTCGGCCCTCCACCTGTTGTGAAACTAAAAGTCCCATCATGCCTCTGCCTTTGGAAGTCATACTTGTAACTGTCAACCTTGCAATGCCTCATGGGACTTGTAGTTTGCCAACAGCTGGAGGGCCGCCAGTATGACATCCTGATTTAGAGGTTTACATTTGTGCAGTTAAATTCCATGAACACTGGACGTTTTAACAACGCTGGTAATGTTAGCTGTGTAAAGTCAAGTTAAAAACGTGAGTTTTTCAGCACTTTTTGCATTAGCGTTCAGCAACTTTTTTTACACGTTTTTTTTTTAAACACCCCCCCCCCCCCCCCCAAAAAAAAAAATATTTTTTTGGGTAAAAAAAAAAAAAAAAAAAAAATCCAAAAACTCTAGTTTGCGCTGTTTTACCACATTTTCCAGTGTTGGAGTGCTTTTACAGCTAAAAACTCCTCTAGAAACCCATTAGTCCTGGGTTTTTTTTTTCAGCCAAAAAAAGCCCCTGCCAAAAAACGTTGATTACAGTCTAAGTGTGCATGGACACGTAAGATAACATACTGGGGAGTTTACTGGCTGTTGAAAAAAACCCGTCAAAAGCCAAAAACAGCAGCTGTAAAAACGTACAGTGTACATGAGATCACACAGAAGTAATGTGTGTTCATTGTTAATGTTCACATATTCCCAATCTATAGAGACTAACAGAGCTCTAGGCAAGGGCTTCACTGTGGATGTCCTGGGTTAAGACAAATCACAAGACTTTGTAACTATAAACCACAGAAAACACAATACTTTGTGTCACCTATCAACCACAAAAAAAAAAAAAAAAAAAATCTTAGTTGAAATAGTTTGAATATCTTTGTTTCTAGAACACTACTATAAACTGACAATTAAAAACAAGTAAAACAGTTACCTTGTAGTATGAAAAAATAATAAATGTGTAATTATATTACATACTGTACCTCTGACAAGATCCACATCAATTAGGTCTGGCTTTACATGCCCGGTTTTCTTTGGCTTGTTCCGTAAACCCTGCATCGATGATCAATCCATTAAAAGAATAAAAAACACACAAATGTATATTTATTAAAATCTAATTAAATATATAATAATAAATAAATATTAGAATACACAAACTCACTCACTGGGAAATAATCAAATACATTAAAAGTTAAGGGCTTACAACGCAGCAGCTGGTGTCTGGTGCGATCCGGCCATATTGCCACAGTGCCAACTTGAGCGCATCATGCTCTTCACTTATTCAAAATGTCAGAAAGACGTTTCATTAAGTTCAAATGTCGGCAGTGTGGTGAAAGGCGGTGAATTGCTCTGCACTGCGTTGCACAGGAAAAAAAAAAAAAAAAAAAGTACTGCATGCAGTATTTTTTTTCAGTGCACACTGCCCACACACCACCACAACACTGGTGTGAATCAGGCATAATGGAGACCAGGCATTTTGCCTTGTCATACGGGGAAACTGTGCAGGAATAGCCGCTCAATGCAGTCCCACCGCATTCAGTTCGAATACACACTAAATGTCAATGCATTTTGTAAAATAACTGAAAAAACATCCAAGTACACCTATGTTATCACGGTGTTGTCTACCTAAAATACTGTATAAAGAAAAAAAAAAAATGATATATATATACACATATACATACACACACATACACAGACACCATTCAAACAATGTCTCTTTCACAAATAAAACTGATGCAATTTTACCACGACTGAAGCAGCTGTACATGGCAACCAATCAGCTTCTAGCTTTCATTTTCAAAACGTAACTATCTGAAGTTAGAAGCTGATTGGTTACTATGCACAGCTGCTCCAGCTTTAGTCCACTCCCGTTTTAGTAAATTTCCACCACTGAAACTTCTTTGTGTTAGATTTTCATCCAGTACTTCCATGCATGGACACTTCTCAAAGCCAGTGCTATGCCCCACACCCATGTTTCTCCTTAACAGAGGTGAATGTCCTTCAGGTCTTAAGCACATTTTCTCAATAAGGGCTCAGGCACAGTGGGCTTAAAAAAAACAAAACAAAAAAAAACACAGCTTTTACAGGCATTTGGCTGTTTTAGTTTACAGCCTGTAAAAGCACCTCTATGTTAGTCTGAGTCCACACACCCAAAGGCGTTTACAAACATATTAGAAGATGCCATTTACAGGGTGAAAAAAAAAAAAACACACAAAAAGAGTATGCTCAGAAGAGGAGCTGAAGAGCAGAAAAAAAAAAAAAAAAAAAAAAAAAACGTGCTAGACGTGCCTAATCGATCCTAAACGTCTAACGTTTCAGCCTCAATAATAAACGGATGTTCTGGCCAAAAGAAAGCATTAACACTGAAATGCTAGATGGATCTAAACATGTACAAAGGGAACCAGATACTTTTTAACAAGTACATACAACATACACATATCAGGAATATGAAAATGTTGGGGTAACACATTTTAAGAGTTCTAGAAAATTAAAGAAGAATGCAGTTCCTAACTTGCCAACTAAAATGCATGCACACACTTTACACAGATATGGAGAAGAATAAAGAGATTATGATCAATCTTACAGATGGATGTTTTAGTACTTCAATTATTATGTTGCATGCCAGTATTAACCACTTGCCTAATGGGCCTATCCCCCCCCCCCCCCCCCACCTTCCTAGGCCAATTTTCATTCAGCTTTCAGTGCTATCGCACTTTTAATGACAATTGCGCAGTCATGCAACACTGTACCCATAAGAAAAAAAACAAAACGTTTTATTTGTTTCTATTATAACATTTTCACTGATATGCATTGATGAGGCGGCACTGATGGGCAGCACTGATGAGTAGGCACCAATAAGGCTGCACTGGTATGCGGCACTGATGGGCAGCACTGGTGAGAATTGATGAGTAGGCACCAATAAGGCTGCACTGGTATGCGGCACTGATGGGCAGTACTGTTGGTAACTGATGGGCACTTTTGGGGCTGCACTGATAATCAGTGTAGTTGAATCCTTTCACAGTTTCCGGTTATCTGCAGTACTTTCCTCAAGCTGCAGGCTCGCTTTCAAACCTTGCTGTCTGAGTGCACTCATAGAAAGTGGCTGCCTATGTAGGTACGTGCCTGAGAGGGGGAGCCAAGAGTGCCAGCAGGGGACATGAGAAACGGAGGTTCAGGGCCACGATGAGCATTTCCACTGCACAGAGTAGGTAAGTATAAAACCTGTTTGTTTTAAAAAATTCAATTTACGATCACTTTATTCCTGCCTACATCAGTGGTGAGTACAGGAGAGAAGCCTATCAAACATATACACTCAGGGTGCTCTTTTTATTACTCCAGATTCCCTTTGGGGCACTTGCATGGCCTTCTGCACATGAGCCACCTCACTTTCAGTTGAGTAAAGCTGGGTAAACACTATATGAAAATAAGACAAATGAACGTCTGGTTTTCCTCGAAGTTTCCCAGCAAAATCAAAGCCGAGGATGGCATTAATTGTATACAAATTCTCGAATGACAAAGGCTTTTTTTGTTTGATGTAGAAGCACTGTAGCATAGATTATTGTTGTTTCTGGTTTATGATTATGCTATGATAAATTGTTAGTTCTGTTCACCTACGAGAAAAATTTGTCCTGGAGTTTGTCCCTTTGGAAATTTTCATTTGAAAAGTCGGAATCGCATGTTGAAAGCCGTGTACACATTATACATAAATCAAACAATCATTCCTTGTACGGAATTCTTCTTCTGGTTTTCTCGTAGTGTGTTCCCCATTTTACTGTGGCTGCCTCTTTTGGGCTGACAGCATTTCTGAGTGCTCTCCTGGAATTAAGGCCAACAATTGTTTTGCAACAAGGCACTCCCTACCCTCTCCACAGCTGTGGACATCGTGAGTACCCTTCTAAGGATTTTTACAAGCATGGCTGATCCGGAGCACTAGAGAAAAAAGGTCAGGTGGACTTGCCAGCTCAGGTTCAGTTCTTCGCTCTGAGGGTGGAAGTTTGTCCACTCAGGGACCTAGTACCCTTTTATTTACCCAGCTGCCCCCAATCTGACTTCCCACCTTCCTGTGGCCATTTCCATCTACCAAACTAGCTTCCATTTATTGTTCAGAGAGGAATTTTTCTTTCACAATGTCAGATATCATGGGCAGAATTTCTGATTTTGTCAAGACCATAGATAGCAGGGGTCACAGCTATGTCCTTTCAACCTCCCCTTCTGAATTGGTCTTTAATTTTTGCCCTTCAACCAAACACGTGGAAGGGGTGGCAGTTGAGGATGACAAATCTCCAGGGAAAATTAGATTGCGTACATTTTATTCAGGCTATTTGGCAATCATGAGTGCAATGTATAGAAATCATGGCTTCTGTAGAAGAAAGGCTTTGAACCCAGCATAGCATTATATCCATACAGGTTATGGTGATAATATGGGGTGTAAAGCAATGATCTGCTTAGCTCCACTCACTGTCCTAAACACGGGGCTAATCCCTTTTGGGAGGGGGGGGGGGGGGGAGGGATACGTGATAGAATGAGATGTGAATATCTTCTGTTTTAAGACGATTTTATTGTGCTACACACTAATAAAGATGAGAAAATTCTTGTTGCCTTAATCCCTTCTTACCATAACCTGTATTGTTATACATGTTTTCAGGCATATGGTTTTAAATTTCTCACGCAGGCCATTTAGATGCGCATTTCAAGGTTTACATGTGTATTAAAGTGTCAGGCATTTTTGTTTTAGCCAATGGAAAGCACTAAGGGGTGGAAACCAGTTCTTACAGGTTAAAAAAAAAAAAAAAGTTGGAAAAATGTACAAAAATGCTCAATTCAAGCTTTTAAAAAAAGCATTCACTTTTAACTCTATGGGACCAGAAAAGCTCAATGCTGCCTCGAAAGTAGCTCATTGAGCTTTTGGAGTATCAAGTGTCAAGATACAGGAACCTGAGCACTCACATGTAAACAGCCACAATTGAAATACAAGGGATTTTGGAACCATTTTGAAGCTTCGAGCTACAAAATGCTGAGACATAAATGGGGACTTGCTGTACAAAGAATGAAGCACAAACATCAATACAGGGGACTTTGTTCTGGGAATGCCAATACTGACAGTGGATTCTAGAACAAGCAGTTTTATTTGGAACCTTAGGCTCCATGTACATGAGCCTACCCAGACCGCAGGAAACTGCAAATCGCAGCAACTGCGGTACCACGATTTTGGTTTTCCTGCAGTTGGCGGTCAAATTGTTCCTATCCTGCATGCGATTCTTCTATGTTCAGGAGAAGAAGGTTTAACCTCACCTAAACGCAGCAGCTCCTAAACTGCTAAAAGCCTATGTGTACATGGACACATAGGCTTTTATGGAGTTGAGTTTAGGAGCTTGGGCAAAAAAATGCTTGTAAGAATGTTCTATTTATAAAAGCAAACGGGAAGAATCAGCCATTCTGGTCAAAATCAAATTTTAAAGTTGTTGTACAGGCATAAAATTTAAATTGAAGACAAAAAGATAAATATGTAGACGTGCTGGGGCACTTCTTCAAGCAGCCACTGACTCATTTCATTCTCAATTCACCAGGAAACGCTGCCTGCTTAACTGTTGTAAGTGAAGTAATCCCTGTTGTCACCCAGCAGGTTAGACCACTCTGTAGTGGACAGCAGGAGACCTGCACCCAGAAGTGTGTTGCATTCTTGAACCCTCTCTGCACGCCGTGGCTTATAAATCAGAAGAATTTTCAGCAAGCTTCTCTCTTTAGGCCCGCAATGACCGGGGATGCAGGCAACGAAAGAAGTGTTAGTACAATATTTGTGTAGGAAAACACTGCACCTTATCAAAGGAGTCTGAAACTGGTAAATACAGGCAAACGAAGGAACAGCACTACTTTTTATAGGATAACAGAGCCTGTTTCCTAAAGAAAAAAATGTAAAACCCAATAGAACTCTCAGTTTAAAATCAGCCAAATAAAGATGCATCAAAACAGGGGCGGACTGACAACTCATGGGGCCCCCGGGCAATAGGGGATCATGGGGCCCCTGTGTCCTTGCCCACACTCAAAGCACACCC